CTGCCTTCCATAAGTCTTTGTGTCCATCAGCCTGCTTCTGTGTCGTGGATACCATTAATAAGACTTTTAAGTTTCTTAATGTAGTTTAGGTACCTATATCAGCTTTATTCATCCAAGGTTAGTCAGAAGTCCTGTCTATGCCCACGCTATACAGGGCTTCAGAATCATTATGCAATTAAGCCCCAGAAGTAAAACAAGTAGCATTGTTTGGAAGATGTGTTGAATTATGCCCTACCTGCAGAGCTTATAAAATTACACAGCCGATTTTTAGGACATTTGGAGCCCTTGCAGACCAAGGAAGGTTTAGGAACTATTCAGCCAGGTCTGGAAAAGGTAAAGGTTGAAGTCAGTTCTTAAAATGCAATCAATCCTTGATTTCTTTAAAAAGAAGAAGAAGGCATATTAATGAAAAAGAGCATTGATAAATAAAAACCTTTAAAAAAAAAAAAGGAAAAAGAGCATTGGTATACATTTCCCAAAGCCAGAGATAATCCAAACATCATTGGAGATTTCAGTGGCCACATTACCCTCCTAATTCTGTTTTGCTCACCCTAGTGTTCAAATTCATTTTCATTCTCCTGACACAAGCCAAACATTGGCACAGGAAGCAATCCCAAGGTGTCCTGAATTCAGGAAGTAACTTTCTCATATTTTGCTTTGGGCTGTTTTCCCCTTGCTAACGTCAGCATTGGAGTTTTCTTTTTTTTCACCAACCAGTTCCAATTGTTTGTACGGGGGAAAATGGAGTTGCAAGGAGCATCTATTTTGTAATGTTCCACACTGTAGAAGAACAGACTGGGGCCGTGCAAGAATGACTATATGGTGTTGCTTGGGAAGCACCCACAAGTTCTTTGAAACAGAATTTGGAACAGCTGGACCACTGCAGTGTTTTATTTTAAAATAGACAACATATGTAATGCATATGGTCCTAGACATGTATGGAGACACAGGCAGACAATCTGAATGGTATCCAAAGACACCTGCACCTAGAATTCTGTTTCCTTCTATAAGATTTTTTTTCCCCCAAAGAGCACATGTTCCCACTTTTGGATTTGCAAGATGCCATCTGAATTCCCATGTGTGTGACTCCTTAATAAAGTCAATGGGAAGTTTCCTGGGATGGAAGTGTCAGAAAAAGTCAGTTAATGAACACCTCCTAGGGACCTGGCTCCTCTGGGAGCTGGCAGGGGAAAGAACAGATCAGAAAGTTGCCCTCAAGGAACATATTATCTATCAAGGGATTCAACTGTGTGTGGGTGTTCTGACCACTGAGAAATTGGAACATAACCAGCAAAAACACAGAGACAGGACGTGGGAATTAGTGGTACAGGGGCAGAGGAGAAGCATAAAGCAGAGAGATTGGGAATGCTCCCAGCTTCCTAGAAGCAATCTGGTTTAAGAAGCAACCTGCAACTAACATTAGCTATAAATGCAGAGACATCCTTGGCTTGCTGAAAACATTAAACAATCTGGCTTCGGGAGCACTAAGAAACCTGCCCACTGGCTCATAGCTAAGGTTTATTGAGCACTTACTATGTGCTAGGTGTCCAGGTGCTCGACAAGTCCTCAGCAGAACCTCTCAGTAACCTTCCAAGGGTAGACTCAAACACTATTCTCAGCTTACAAAGGAGGAGAAGGACACTCAGAAATACTAATCAACCTGCCTCACATCACATGCCTAGTAATGACAGGGTTGGCCTCAAATGCAGTCTTTGTGACCCCCTAAGCCCACCCACTTAACCACCTGCTAACCTAGCTCAAATACACCGTTCCCATTGAATTTAGCATATCAACATTTCATAAAATCAAGAAATAGAAAATATTTGTTGAAGTAGTGAATTTATTTATTTTAATGAAATAAATTCATTATTTTAACACGTACGTCTTGGGTGCCTACTATGTACCAGGTACTGAGGTATACCATTCTAGGTGCTGAAAATACAGCAGAGAGCAAAAGTACCAAAATCCCTGCTGGGATGGAGCTTAAAAATCAGATCCCTTCCTCTGACACCTTAAAATAGCATCCCTGCCTCCCCCCCCCCCCCCCCCCGCTCCTCTTTCTTTTTCTGAATATAATAAGCTCAGTGAAACTCTCAAAGATTTTATGGGAGGCAACCACCCTTTAACCACTCTTGGGTTGTTGGAATCATTAAGATAATGAGCCTAAATCTGAGTAAGTGATGATTTTGTGTAAGCAAAATCCAGAGGCTGCTCGTTTCACCTGCTGGAAATTCCCATTGCATTCAGCTCCATCTTACACATGTGGAAGTTGTGCAAGGGATCTTAAGGATGGTTAAATGACAGTGACCCCACCAAGGGAAGTGGAAATTCGGCTCATTTTACACCCAAGGAAACTGAGTCTCAGAGAGAGCAAGAAGCCGCCATCCCACAGCTTATTTAAAAATAGAGCTCAAACTAGAGTCCAGATCTCCTAAAGCAGTCCCAGGCTCATCTACATGTGGACCGAGAGAGAGGAAAGGAAGAAAGGAAGAAGGAAAAAGGAATTTTTATGTTGACAGAGTTGCTTTCTGAAAAGGAAAGCAGGCTGATTTTAAGCATATTTTTCTGTAAGCCTGCTTTTTTAAAACGTAAGTAAAAGCGAAATTGTTCTTTAGATGTACTCTCAGCCAGGAATTAGCCCCGTGAAGCTGTATTGTGATGCATCAGGGGGGCGGGGAGTGGGTCTCTATCCAGGTCCCTCAGAGGAGCCAAGTTGTCTTTTCAGATCTGTTTCCTGAGTGGGCAGACAGCAAGGCGAAATAGTTCACCACAAACTTTTCAAGAGGTTCAACAAATAACGAAAAAGAGACTTGAAACATGTCATATTTTTAACAGCTACGAAAGAGCCCCCTTCTCTCTGAGCTAAATGACCAGTTGCACCATCATAATTGAAGAGCAATAAAATAGCGAGCCAAACTGGCAAAGTAAGGCCTGGGCCGATTTGTCAGCTTGCAAGCCTCTTCTGAGAAATTTGAGAGCAAGAAGCTGGTGCTAGCCAAAATGCCTCATCTATCTGTTAAAATTGGGAGGCACAAGGTGGGTGAGGCTTTTTATGAGGATGAAATAGGATGAGCAATTTGTGTACCCCCCTGTTATTTTTCCTAAACTCAACGGACCTGGGACTGACCGGAGGGCGGTGGGAGGGCATAATCTGTCCCGTGGGTTGGAGAGTGTCCCCTGGACTGCAGGACTGTCCTCCTGCTGGTGCAGAGCTAAAGTTGTAGCAGGTTTAAGACGAGTGCCTCGGGCCAGAGGAGCCTCACACAGACACACTCCAGAAGCAGATGGCTTCCTCCCCAGCATCACCTTCCTGGCCACCTCTCTTCCTAACCGTCCTGAGTCAAAGGAGAAATACAGCTTGGAGCCCAAAGAGCCAACAAAAGAAATCCTCGTAGATAAAGCACCTAACCTGAAACTGAAAGCACTTTCTTAAAGACAAACCCGAGGCAGTTAACAGAGCAAAGAGAATTCTTTCTAGTATAATTCCCGTACATGTGATATCCATTCCAAAAGCTTATGTTGCATCATCCTAATGGAACAATTTGGCTATTAAAATATACATTCTTCAACTTGTCTTCTGGAAACCATTGCTTCTGTGTGTCTAGGACATAAACAACACATCCTGTTCAAACACTGACCGCTTGCTGCTTCTATGGAAAATGACTAGAGATTTAAAAAATCGAACAGTAAGAGGGCAAAAATCTGACATACCATGGATTTAGGTCTGAAGGATACACAAAACCAATAATGTAATAAGAAATCATCTTCTTAACGTCACCCTGCTACCAAAACTCAAGTTTTCAGTCATACCCCAAGTATGGAAGGGGGGAAAAACTGCCTGGGATGAAGGCCATGTATGAAAATATATCCGAACACCCTCCCAAGTCAGAAATTGATTTTCCTCCTGTCCAGACAGCATCGCTGGTCCCTGGCAGGTCCCCATAATCCGGTAGAATACTGCATGCAAGGGGATGAATAAACTCTGGCTTAATTTGATATAAGATTCTTTTTCTTTGCAGTCTGCATATCAGGAGAGTGAGTAAATATGAGGTGGAGTGAGCTGATTCCTTTAATGCGTAGGATCTTCATTCCTACCTCTTCGGGATTTACTTGGTCTCCCTTGAGTTGAATTCTGAGTTATTTTGCCGATTGAGTATAGAGCATTTTAGTTACACATATTGAGATTAATTAGTTAGCCCTTAGGAGGTTTTGCTTGCAGCCTTCACCCTGTAAGAAAAAGTGTGAATACATTGAGACTATTAATTCACAATAAATGGCAGATCATAGCCCTTGCTGAGTAAATCTGTTTGTCTCTTCCATAAGCTTTGCTAACTCTAAGCACACTATAAGGCAATGACCTTGGCTATCACAAACTAAATTCCCATTTAACTTATTCTCCAGGTTTCAAGGAAAATCTTTTGTTATTATTATTTTTTTTTAATTTTGGAGGGTTGGGATCCAAATCTTTTGTGAAACCAAATTGGCAACGGGAATGGGGAAGGGGAGGATACAAATATTGTCACGTTGCTGAAAATCAGCATACCCCTTTTTCCAGCTAATCCCAATAATTATAGAGAAATTGCTCTAGACATAACCACTGGAATGGCAGAATCTATTAAAAAAACTAAAAAAAAAAAGCTAAATAGGCTTTTATAAGCAAAGATCCGATCTGCTTTCAGTGTTTGGTGAAATACAGGCGAAGTTACGGTCGTGTGCTTAGTTTTTAAAGAACAACATAAATGCACTGGAATTGTGATCATTTGATAAACATGTTGATGCCAATATATTTTTGCCTAAATGCAATAAACTCACCAGTGAGTGATGCAAGTTGACAATGGGAGGTAAAAAGAGTATCTTGCGGATGTTGGTGGGAGGCAACGGGAGCGGGGGGAGCAGCTAGCGTTCATAATGCCTAGTGAATTCCTGTGTATTTGAAATGTCAAAGAAAATGTGATGTGTTTCTCTAAATTGTGTCTCTCTCTACATGTATAAATGAACAGACGCAGATAGAGCTCAAAAACATGGCATGGATGAATTTATCTCTTCCAACCCCTGTAACTTTGACCACGCTTCCCTCTTTGAGATGGTGCAACGCCTTACTTTGGATCACAGACTTAATGATTCGTATTCTTGCCTGGCAAGTATATTCTTTGGTCTACAGCAATTTAAACCTGATAACGTTTTTTTTTTTTAATAAAAAAATCTCTCTACCTTTCTATCAGAAGCTCTTTTTCTCCATTTCAGAGCCCCTTTAACAATTAAAAATGTGTTCTTGATTTCCTGGGTGGAGATAGTTTTACTTACCAAAGAAAGAAGACAGAGCGGGAGGAAGTTATCAGTAGAGACGGATCCAATTCCCCAGCCTCCCTAGCTAAGCTTCCCCCTTTTCAGCTGCTACATGAGAAATATTCCCAAGAGGGTAATCGAGTTTGGCACCTGCTTGTGGAGAACTTGTAAAAATTGCCTCGGTTTCTTAGACTTTAAGATTCCTCCTCCTTTCCCTCCTCAGTTGATAAGACCCTGTGCTTCTGTCTCAGAAATGAATGTGTTCTTTTTGTTTATTTTTCAAAAATTAAAATGATTTGTAAATAAACTTCACTTTGCTTTTCATAAGCTAAACTGGTTTGGGTTTGTTTGTTTGGATGGCTTCTAATTTTTTTCATAATATTCAAAGCATTTTTCACCCTTTGGGGGGAATTTTTTATGGTGCTTTAGACATTTGGAAGTCCAGTTCTCCAGCAAGAGCGTTAACATTTCTTGAAATCCTGTTCTAAGCCTAGATTTGAATCATTTAAATCCAAGGGACAACTATTATGTCTTTTTAAAAATTCTATCTTTATTGGATTCCTGAAGATATATTTTGGACTTTATACTAATCAAATTCAGAAGCCTAAAAAAGACCCCGTTTATTTCCTTCTATAAACCATAAATTGTTACTTCATTTCTTAAAGGTAAATGATATTAATCCCACTTTATAGATGGGAACGGTGAGGGGAAATAATGAAATGACTTTACACAGAGGAAAAGCCTCAGCCCTGACTCTAAACACTAAGGTTAATATATCTGTATTTTGCCAATATTATATAATTTACTAAGGTTAACATATTATTGACATTTATGTAAATATAATGAAAATCTGTTTCCTTTCTAAATGACATGGCTATTTCTTACATCTATTCTTACTACTTTTTATTCTAAATTCCATTTTACTTCCTCTAACCAGAGCCAAACTATTAAAAATAGTAGATAAAATGTCTTTAAAACAGAAATGGGATTATATGGAATAATTTATTAATCTGAGTCTCATAAAAGATTCATTGATGATCTCGGGTTTAGAATCACTTCATCAGAAGAATCTGAACTTTGCCAAATTGGAAGGGAACACTTCACTTTGACTTAAAAAAAAAAAAAAAAGCTTACCTTGCATTGCAAGGCAATTTTTCTCAAATGTGTTTCCTATGATTATGTGATTATTCATGTAATTATAAATTGCATTCATGAAAGTTGTAAGACTATGCTGCTGATCTTAATTCCTATTCTCTTGAGGAATTTTTTTTAAAGTGTATTACTTTCAAGACTTTTCACATCATTTTAAAAACAATTTTCTTTTTCGCTAAGAGATTCAGTCACTAAGGAGAGTTAGCAAATGCCCTCTAAAAAAATTGAACCAGAAGTGAAATTGTGAAGCTTGCTTCCTATTAATCATGTATAGGCTTAAAAATATGCTCCAAAACCCAAAATTAATTACAAATATCATAAAATAGTTTCCTTCTGCATTTGTATACCTGGATCTATTAATCATTATCCCCAAATTTCAGAAAATAACAGCAATTAAAAGGACCTTATCTTCTGCCTCTATATATTTCATTTTCTCATTATTACAATCTTTTTTTTTTTTTCAGTTAGTTTTGGAGACCGACCAGCAGGGATACATAAATTTTTCTGTGTCTTCGACTGAGTTCCTAATTGATATTTCTTCAACTCTTTTCAAAGCAGCTATTTTGGCATCTACAAAAGACTTGGTGTCATCTGAGTCGTAGAAAATATATTTTAATCTTTCACAGCAGTGTTGTTTCTAAGATTTAGCATTTGGGGTAGCAGATGGAGTGGCAAAGAAGTTGCCTATAGGGGCAGCCCACTGCCTCGACTACTCTCCCGCCCTCTGCAGTAACTTATAATTTGAAATAGGAAAGATGCCGTCTTTCGTTGGATGTATTGCTGAGCTGCATGTTGTCAATCGAAGAGTCCCCAGATCACTAATACAAGATCAGAGTACTGCAGAGGCCTCTCTCACTGCGCTTCTGTGGCCTGTACCTGCCTCCCCACCCCACCCCCCGCCCCGCAAAACCCACCATCACTTTCTCCTTTTGCCTCTTCTCTCCCAAGACAGAGCGATATTCACAAGACTCAGAGAGGACCCTCAAAGTACAATTAAATTTATATTTAAAACAATTCTAAATTCCCAGCTTACAAAGTACCAACCTAAATTGGTTTACAGGTTGCCCCCCTACCCCCACCGCTATCCAAAAGTTCACTCTAGGCCACTTTGCTTTTATGAAAAGACCTATATTAGTACTTGTTTTCAATAACCAAAAGAGATCCAAAGAGGATTTTCACTTTTACGAAATGGTGATTGCTTCTTCATTTGACACCATTTTGGCTTATGAAAGGTTTTGTAGGAACACTCCATTTTCAGATAACGAGGGAAACCTGTATCTTTTTGCTTCTGAAAGGTACTAAAACCAAAAGAAGTGATTTGATTTCTGGCTTGGCTGATGGGTGACCTTGAGTGGCAAGCCACTTGGCCTTTCTGAGCATCTATTTTTTTAAGTGCATCATGGAGGCAGTGACTTCTATGCCATCATGCTTCCCAGTCTGCTCTGAAACAGAGATCCCATCCAGGTTCTCTTTTATAGCAGAGTTTCATCTGGTCATACAGCGAGCAAATAAATAAGAAGAAAACAAATAATTGCCAGAGGAAAAAAATGAAACAAGACGCTAAGCCAGGACGTCAGAAGCACCTCTGAGTTTAATTGAATCATGTCTGATTCATACCTTGAAAACTTAGTCATGTTGCTCTCTTTATGAAGTTGTGTCATTATCCTCATTTTAAAATTTAAAAAGGATTGTCTTTCAAAGTGAAAGAATTTATGAAGTCCTGGCATGTATGTAGACCAATCCTAATATTTCTTAATGCTTCAGAGTAGGAAAAACAGAAGACTTTGAGTAAGCCAGCGCTGCTTCTGTTTTGTATTATTTGTGAGTCACTTAGCAGCCCTGATCTCTTTCCTTATCTATAAGATGAAGATAAACCTACCCTGCCCACCTCAGGAGATTGCTATCGGGCTCAAGTGAAAGTTCTTTGTGTAAAGCACGATACCAATTTAAGACCTCATGTTATTGTTTCCTCTTATCAGTAACCAAGATTTCACCCTGTCCCCACTCCAATGCTTTTGGAAGGTGTATGGCCCAGTGTTAAAGCAGCAGGTGAGATTCTGTTTCTGGAATCATGCTGTCAGCTAATCCAGACTCCAGCACGTACTAGCTCTGGGATCCTTGGGAAATTCCATGTCCTCCCTCAACTCGATTTTCCCACCCATCCAACAGAGATAACAGGACCTACCTCACAAGGCTGGTACAAGGGTTAAAGCAGCCAGCGCTCACAAGGGGATCAGCACAGTGGCTGGCACTTAGAAGAAATCAAAATGTGTTGGCTCTGGCAATTTTTGAACCCCCTTCTCCAGTCACCCCCAACTGTAGCAGCTCTCAAAAATAAATAAATAAATAAATAATAAACCCACCACCACAAACAAAAACCTGTATTTAAAAGAAAGTCTCTCCTTTATTCCCCAAACAGGGCTGGTTCAGTCCTGGCCAGGTGTTTGTCCTAGACGAGTATTGCGCCCGAAATGGAGTCCGAGGGTGTCACCGACATCTCTGCTACCTCAGAGACTTGCTTGAACGGGCAGAAAATGGCGCCATGATTGACCCCACCCTCCTCCACTACAGCTTTGCCTTCTGTGCATCCCATGTCCATGGGAACAGGTAAGCACTTGTCCAGAAGTAGTCCTCAAAAAAAAAAAAAAAAGTCTTTTTTTTAAGCCACTGGCAAGGGTCTATGATTGGTCCTGCTTTTAGAATTATCTCTAACTTTGTGTCCATTCCCATTCCTTCTGTATCACACACATGAACACAAAGGTCTTAGTTTCTTCTCCTTTCAAGGAACTTAAAGACATGGCAAACAGAACTTCTAAAGTGGTCTCTGAAGGTAGAACAATCTAGGTTTAAATCATGGCTCCTCCATTTACTAGCAAAGATGCTGGATGGTAATGAAACCCTCCATGCCACAGTTTTGTCATCTGTAAAACAGGGATGGTAGTATCCTCATGGCGTTGTTGAGAGGATGCAGGTGGCTCAGGAACATGCCTGGAACATGGCAAGAGCTTCATAAATGTTTACCTTTGTTGTTCTCATAAACATAAATGTTTACCTTTGTTGTTTACCTTTGTTGTTCTCATGATTATCATTCATTCCATAGTTATTTAATGATTACTTACTGCCAGGCTCACTCAGTGAGCAAACAAGACACCAAACAAGGACAGTGTTACATAGAGATTGGTGCTCTGACGACAAGGAATAATATTCCATACTAGCATTTAATAAAGGAAGATAGCTCAGACGGGGTGTTAGGATGGCAGAGAGGGTGTCCCTGAGGAAGAGAGGCTTGGGCTGAGAACTGAAGCATGTGTAGGAGTTGAGTGCTTCCAGGCAAAAGGAGCAGCATGTACAAATGCCCTGCCGAAGGAGGAAGCCAAGCACACTTCCAGAGCTGAAATAAGCTAGGTGAAGCTGGAAGGCAAAGTTAATCATAACACTTACAGTTTAACCATGGAGCTGGGAAGAACTTCAGAGATCACAGTGTAACCAGCCCCCTCATTTTATAGGTTTTATAGACCAGAACATCAGTTCTAACTCCATACTAAGTACTCTCTTTCTTTAGACGTTGCCCAGCTCCTGGAGGAAAAGATCCATGTTCTGAATAATGCAAAGCAGCAAATAATTTAGGAACATTACCATTTGGCTCTGAAGATATGGAATAAATTTCCACATTGCCACAGCCAGTTTACTATCCCAATGTATGTAGCCTCACGTTACTAGGAAGACAAGCCTGCATTACCTCAAGCACCTCAACCAATAGCCAGGAAAGGCACATCCAGGAAAAACTAGGTGGCTTCAAAAACCCAAAAAAGTTGGTGCTGTGGGGAAATTCACTTGTGGGAGAATCCCGAACTGACTACATTTATTTTAAATCAGACTGTCCGTTATCTTCATCTTTGCAAGCTAGATGACTCTGAAATATCTGTGGGATTTGTCCTGTGCTTTTCTTCTCTCTAGCGCTGGTGGGTTTTATGAGATGCAACTTCAACATTTAGAACTAGGTTAACAATAGCATTATAGGTTTGAATATTTAACAGGAAACAAGTTTTCATCACTTCCCATTGTTATAAGGTTTGCTAGCCCAGCACATGACCTTTTATTTACATAAAAGATATTTATGAAAACTCTGATACCTGAGGAGTATCTGTGCATAACTCTGCTTTTTATAAATATGTACACTTTGATGACTATCTGTTACAGCCTCTTGGACTGAATTCTTTAAAGAGAGAGAGAGAAGTTGCATTATATTCTCTGGGTTGTCACACTGTATTCTACATATGTTACTGAATAAGAAAGTGTTATAAAATAATGAAGTGTTTTTGTAAACTCCCTGGTAAACATCATCATGAATTATGATACACATTGTCTGGATTTCATATTGTAAGACTGCCACTTGATTCACAGTTAGGTTTATACATCTTGTCATGGAAACAGTTTTGGATTTCTTATTTTCTTTTCAGTTCTGATTTTCCTTATGCAAGTTTGCATCTTTTTTTTTTTTTGCTTATTATTTTAGTTTGAAGGCATTTGCTCTTGCTGTTTGATACATCCTTCTTTTTCTTTCTTTCGTTTGTGCATGCATGCGTGCTCTTGGTTCTCCTGTGGCTGGCCACCCTCTGTGCATGCCCCATGCGACCACCCCCTCTCCAAAGTCAACAAATGCATGTATACCTTAGTGGGCTGCCACCAAATACAGACCCTCAAGGGAGCAAAACTCCCTCCCCATCTGAACCAGAGGCTAAAAAAGATACCAAAAAGGAATCCAAAAAAAGAAAAGATTACAAAACCCAGGCAAATCCAGAGCCCAAAAGGTAAGAAGTTACGTGTGCTTTGGCTTGTGTTTTACAATATCTGTGACATTCCCCCCATCCATGCCATGACTTCCACCTTAGCAAACAGCGAGCTTTGTGTATTTCTGAGGTCTCTGTTCCTTTAAGGTTTTTCAAAGGTACACTTTAAAAGAAAATCCTAGCAATGGGCAAAATACCATGCATTAGGACTGAATTTGAGTCAGGTGTTTAGTGACTCTTAAAACATATTCATATTGAAAAAACTGAGCAATATGTAAACAGAATCATGAATCAGATTGCTTTTTTAGTGGCATCTAGTTAAGGGCCTGGTACCTTACCAAGTCATTCATAATAAGCAACCCATGCTTTATAATTTTGAAATTATGTTTAAGGAGCAAATAGAATGGGTTGTTGTAAGCTGGGTCTATACATTTATAATAGCTCCATCATTTTTAGCAAACCCTTCTCAGTTCCACATTGATTTCATGAAACAAAGCTATCTTTAGATAAAGATTTATAATAAAAACACAAAATAAAACCTATCACTAAATGAATAGCTCTTAGTAGAATCACTTATATAATGAGGTCACCTTGAAGTCACTTTTAAGTTCTAAAATTATATTTATCCTCTTCTGTTTTCTTTGTCCATTAGGGCTGCTCTCATTGTGAATTGATAAAATGACAAATTGGTAGCTTTTTCCCTTTTAAACTAGATTTGTAATTATTTCTAGTGTTATCCTTATGTCCTTCTTCACCTTCTCTACCCTCACCACAAATTAACATTGACATTTAAAAAAGAATTTTTTTTTTTTAATTTTGTTGTTGTGGTTTTGAAACTGACATTCTGACCCTGGCATTGCCAAGGGACACAAAGTTCACAAGCGGGTATGTTTTATGCTTCAGTATGAATTTGTTCACTGGAATATTTCTAGGTCCTGAAATATATACAGTTCACTTGTAGGCAAACTGAATGAAAATACCAACTTTCACTTCCTAGAGAGTGTGGCAGGCTGTCAGTCAACATGTCCAGGTCTGTTAGTGAAGGTCAAAAAAAACCCTGATTCCATGTGGACCCCTATTTTTCAAACTTGCAGTATGTAAGGATGGAGGTGAAGTGAAGTTTCTGTTTGTGTTTCCCTATGACAGTCAGACTGCAAGGCAAGGGTAGCTTGCAGCCAGTAAGAAAGCACATAGAGAATGTTATAGGTACCTGAAAGAAGCCTCTCTGGATGCTGTCCAAGGTGCTGCTCTTGGAGTGCTCAGCTTTGAAACAGAAAGTAAACCACCGCACTTGATCGAGCCTACCCTGTGCCAGGAAAAACTATCAGAAAGGATCTTGAATGGTACTTTGAGAACCTTATGTGTGTTCCAGGGTCTATGTGTGTATTGCATTTTTAATGCAGAAGAAATCACGATATTAAGTATCAGTTGTGTAGCACTCCACAGTTTATGCTTTCATACATTCCATCTGATTTGCTGTAACATTTTCAGGTCAGCTATTTTTTACAACCATTTTGCAGAGGATGAAACTGAATGCCTACAAATATAAGTGGCAAACTCAGATATTCTGAGTCCAAAGCTCTTCCTCTTTGCACTACATCAGCATTTGTATAGATTCTAGAGATCTGAGTATTAGAGTCTGTTTGGCATGAATCTAGAATTACTGTATCTCATTTCTGTGCCTCAGTTTTCTCATCTGCAGAATGAACACATAGAATCATAGCATCTGTGATATCCCATCAACCTCTAAAATTATCTTTATGGATTATAGTAACAAAAGAAACAAGCCATTGTCATATTCCATAAATAAAGTTTAATTCAAGTAAGGATAATTGCTGCCACGGAATAAGTGCTTGCTATATGCCAGGCACTGTGTGAAGTGCTGTTTAGATTCATCATCTCATTTTATCCTCATTACATCCCTGTGAAGTATTAATATCAGTTTCATCTAACATCTGAGGAGTTTGAGGCTCAGATAAGTTTAGTCATTTACTCTGTAGCAAACAAGTATGTGATCCTAATTCAAACACAGGTAGTCTGACTTAGGAGCTTGCATTTGTGGATGGTGTATGATGCCAAATTCAGCCATTTGATATGAGTTTCAACATTTCCAGGCCAGATACTATAGCAGTCATCTGAATTGATTTAAGGGTTTTGCATTTTTGTCCTAAAGATGTCCAAAATCAACATGGCTCCCCTGGTAATTTTGGCCTTGTGAAGAGAACAAAAGTATATCTGGAGTTTTAGACCACATGAGGGCAGAGTCTCATTTGAACATTAATTAACAACCTTTTGGTATAGGGAAACCATTTTCCTAACCTCTTTCACCAGGATGGACACTATTTGTATGCAAAGATATTATCTATTTTTTGGCCCAGATTAAGAAGGCAGTCATGACTCATGGAAACAAATTACCCTTTAACTGAATTTAACTGAACAATAGAACTCATTCCTATCATCACCTCATAACCAGCTTCAGATTAGGTAAAATGTAGCTTTTTACATAATTATCAACTTCTTACCTATTAATAACTAGCAGACCCAAAGGTGGAGGCAGAGCCCTGCCCTGTTGCCGCTGGAAATCATGAATGACCACTCAGCTGCTGATGACTGAGTTTCTCCCAACTTCTCTGGAAGCCTGCACCACATCTCCATATGCCTTTGTGAATCCACAACATCGAATCAAAAGTAGACATATCTGGTCAATCAGGAAGATGATTGCCATTTATAATTCCAGGCACTGGAAGATATGGAAACATCCACATGTTTGGCATCTTTGAGAACAGTGGTTCTTGACTTGGGGGGAGGAGGGGGTGA